GATTGACACCCGGCTCCTCCTTCAAGACAGGATGCAGTCGAGAGGGCCTTTCAGCTTTCGTAAATGCATGGAACGGTGAATAATAGCAAAGTCCTCCGTCTCTGTAGCACCGTAGGACCACTCTTCCCCATTCACCTGCGCTCACCAGCATCACGGCTGGGGAGTATATCAGACTCTGATGCTGCTGGCATAGTGGACTTGCTTGCATGAGTGCCGAATCGAGGCAGAAACAGCAAACACTGTGTGGCTGTGTGGCATTCAGGACTTCTTTATCCCATCTTTTGTGTGTGGATGCGTCGGCCACGCAGGCAGAGGACGAAGGTCAGCGCAGCCATGGAAGCCAGTACCTCAAGCTGTTGCGATCCGCCCGTTACGGGCAGCAGAAGAAAAGTTTCGAATCAGGCTCAAGCAACAAATTCCAGTCAAGCATCTAACCACGTGGGCATCGATTCCGGCGGTCGCAGCACAGAGGTGCCTAGACTGACAATTGGGCTGCATTTGTTCGAAGTCGCCGAGTACTTAGTCCGTCCAGTCTGTGATAGTTGACGATGCCCACGTCGGATTTCTGCCCCCTAGAAAGCCTGGCTCGTCGGGCTCTGGTGGCCAGCGGCGCAGCAAATCCTCGATCCTCATGGAATTTGTGCTTTCAAGCTTGGGGTGCCCCTGTGTTCCTTTGCTCAAGCAGCAATCCCCTCCGCTCAGGATAACCTGGCTGTGTCCGAACAACAAGCCGTTCCAGCAACCAGTATCAGCACATAGCATGTGATGATCTGAGAAGAATAAAGACCCCTTCTGCCCCTTCTCATCAGAAAATCCCAGATCAACTGGAGTCGGAGGTGCGTCACCGAAGAGTGTCCACGGATCCTTACAATGGAGCAGAAACACTTCAGGCAACCGGGATCAACAGAACACGAATGTTGTCGGTGCCACCTTCACAACTGGTGACTAGTGCCGCAGCCTTTTGCCACGAAAACGTCGCGGCGCCCTCGCGAAGGCACGAATGGACCGCTGGAGTCTACGTAAATCCTTCATCCCTTCGAGCAGGAGTTTGGCTGGACCATGCTGGACCCCATAGACCCTCAACACCCCGAAGCCACAACATGGGCACAAGTTGGAAGAAAAGGCTCGACTGTCGCACAAGATCTTCCAAAGCCGACCGTGGTGCTCGGGCAAGCAGCGCCTGGCATCTCCATCCCGAATCAATTCCGACATACTCTGACTCTATTGCAGCTACAAGATGCTACCAGTGTCATGGACTCCTCGTGGCCACGGCGACTGCCCCACCTCCAGGCTGCCGTCTGTCGCAGGCTCTGTGGGTTGAGCCGACACCTCATGGACCTGGAGACCGAGACCAAGACGCATGCCAGTTGTTTCGATGATCCGTGGCATTCGGCTCCTGCATCTCATCGATTCGGCACACTCTGAGAACTGGAGACAAGCGCATTGCAGCAGTCTTTGGACCTCCCTTTACAACTCGAGAGCCTTTTACGCACACAGGAGTGGGCCCCCGTTGTGCCGAGCATCTTGCAAGGTATTCTCTAAACAGCAGCCGTCGTTTGCATGCAGCATCTGGGACTTCGTTTCATGCATGTGCTGATCTTGGTCAGTGCACAACAGCAAAACAAACTGCGAGCGAGGATGTTGGCACGTTGACCATGACCTAGCCATTGTGCCTGCTCCAGCAGAGGTGAGCGTGACTTGACGGTCGCTTTCTTCCGCCTGCACCCGAACCAAATCTGCGAGATTGGACCCTCTTCCTTTTCCTCTGTGCCTGCTGGGCCTTGGCCGTTCCCTCGCGGCCTCGCAATGGAACTTCCAAGAACCCCTCAGATTCTGAATGTCCCAATCTCCCCTTGGGCCCCTGGCAGTGTTGACAGGTGCATTGTCCGGATCCAGCAGCTCGAGCAGCTCATGGCCACCCTCTGCCTATGCACTCAGTCTACATACAGTCACTCCAGATTTCTCAGGAAGGCCGTCAAGGTTTCTGCTTTGGAGATGCAGGGGCAGGCCTCCAGTTGCAGATTCAGGCTCGTCTCCTCTACCCGTTCCTCGCCGTACCTTGCAGCTGTGACCGTACACGATCTCGCCAATCAGAGTGGGCCCACGCAGACTTAACCCAGCCCCCCATACAGCAACAGTCGTTCGAGGATCTCGGTGGTGTTAGTTCTCTGCCAGAGAGTCTTCGAAGGGGGTGAACGCTCTGCCAAGCAGCCACAGGTTTCGAACCAAAACACCAGCCTGCCGCCGCAACATGTTCGGGAAGACGTTTGGAGCTGCAGCATACTGTCAACGAAAGACACCCCCAAACTGCAGACTGCAGGCGTCCGTCCATGGACACCGCTCTCATACATCCCAAATCACAAGCTTGTTCAATGACAGTGGCTCCTGCCAAGGCTTCAGCACCGAGGAAAGGGGCAACACCAGGTTCGCAGGAGTCTTTGCAAAGTTCACAGCTGCGACCGCTGTTGAACCGCCGCCTCGCAGCTGGCTTGCAGGGAGGCTCCACCCTCTGCGGCCCACGTGCATCCAAAGTGCTTAGCGTCTTGGCCCACACTATCTGGCATTGCCGCTTGTCCTTCGGTAGCAGGCATGCACACGCTCGAGCGACTCGGCTGGAGCTTCCCTAACGTCCTCGGCATGGAAGATGGAAACTGTCCAGGGATGCCAACCTGACAGTGCCGAGAAGGCCAAAACTTAGGACTGATGGCGAGCATGATCTTTAAACTTTAGTGACTACAGTACGGCTACAGACTGGCCTAATGGTGTAAATGCAGCCCAAGCACGGTCTTCGATGCGTGCCTGCCCCGGGTTTGAGGAAGGCACGCAGCTGCCCTCGTCGAACCAGAAGCAGTCTTTATTGCACCATGTCCTTGAAGCTCTCTCTCTCTCTCTCTCTACCAGGTGGGGAGAGCTGGGTACGTCCTCTCTCTCTCTCTCTTTCTTTCGCCAGGGCTAGGGTGGTGGAGGGAGAACCCCCCGCCACCGCGCGGGTTAAGCGCCCCCGACTGTTGGGGGGACGTAGAAATGCAAAAGCTCCACACGGCTGCTCGCATTCCACGTGAGGGAAACATGGCATGAAGGCTCAGTCAAACAACAGGGGTTTCGCTACTGGTAGCAGCTTTGGGGTTTGCTTTCCCCGGTGTGGTGGCAGTCCGGTTTACAGTCTTATGGCACGCAGGTATCAAGGCAACCGACAAAACGTGAACTAGGATACAAAACCAGTGAGTTCAAGAGCGTGCCACAGGATCAGTGCATATGCGAAAGTAGTGATGTGCCGGGCCGAGACAGGGGTAGCAACAAATCAACTCGCTCAGAACAAACACAACAGGCTGCAGTGATCACATTATGGCTGCGGCATCTAGTCCAGCTGACTGTACTGTACTGTCGTGAAGGCCGGGATACCTAGGGTGTGAAAGAGGCCAGAAGCAACAAGAAGCAACACCTCTCTCTCTCACGTCGTTCCAGGGCCCAAACTCCCAAACCCTGTTTGGTATTTGTCACTCCCGCCTTCCATGGCCTTGAGGGCAGTCCGCGCAGCTCGCGGCCTGTAACGAACGCGCGGGAGTGCTCCGATGGAACATGCAAGAAGCTCCCCACACCTTGTGATTACCACAGACCACTTCGGTCTTGGCCTGAGGCCACAACTTTTGAAGCGCTCTCTGCCAAAAGAAGTCATCCAGTGCCCAGGGCAGACGCGGTGTCGTTCTTGTATGCAGGAAGGCATGCGGGCGGCTTGTTGCCTGGAGCAGGACGAACCCTGTAGAGCAGTGACAACATATGAAGTCGCGTCAGCCGCCCCTGGCTCCTGGTGACCGCCATTCACAATCGCCGAAGCAGTCGTCACGGCCATGGCTGCTGCACAATGCACCTTGGTTTTTCAACCAAAGCAGTGCAGGACTAGTGGGATGGTGTCCCGCTTGGTGTTTGGCACAGGGCTCCGTCTTTGCCGAGAGTCAATTCTTGGCATAGTGTCTGCCACAGTTGACCTTGGGATAGGCTGTCGGACGGTCACTTTTGAGATTCCATGAGATTCATTATCAATAGCTCCCGCCTAAGACATGCAAAGACCTGAAATATTAAGACAAGGTTGGTGCGTGCAAGTTGCTCCCCCATCAGGCCACAAGATCTCGAAGAGTGGAGTTCCATCTGGCTTCACGCCTGCCACGAAATTGAGGCTCCGGGTTGGCATGCTTGCCAGTACTTGGGACAACTGCTGTTGTTAGCTTGACGCTTTACATGACACCACTCAGTCGCGCCTGTCCTGAACGATGGATAGTCGGGGCAATTGGAATGAACGACCCGTCCTGCCCAAAAGCAACGGACAGCTTTGACGCACACCTGCCTCAGCACTCGCACAGCTCATGATGACTCGCTTACAGCTCAGCCCCATTTCAGAGCGAGGACCGGTCCTGATTCAAACATCGGATCTTGGTTTATTCGAACTGCGTCTGCATTGCCTTACTTGTCACCCAAGCCGAAGTGCAGAATGCGAAATTGTCAGCATGCAGTCACGGACAAATTTCGATACTATCATGGGCCCTAGATGGCCCAAGCCTTGCCCCCAGCCCCTTTCTGCCGGGAAGCTGTAGGTCTCCTCAGCTGCAGCATCTACGAAGTGCTCTTGACGGCGCTTTGGGAGGGGGAGGGGGGGGAGGGGGGGCGATGTTCCGTTCGTGCCACTTCAGCTTGCCTTCTAGCCTCGAGATCGAAGTCGGTCAGTTTGAGCACGTTGGCCCCCAGCATGAGCGGCGCCGACATGACTGCCTAAGCCGTGGACGACAAACCCTCGGAGCAGAGTTCCATTGGAAGGGAGAACATGATCCCCTCCCCGAATCGAGATCAAGCCCCCGCCAACCTGCACCCAAACCCTTGCTTGGTGTAGGAAGCCGGCCCACAGCGAAAACTGTGCTCTGGATTGGGCCTCAGAAGAGCCCACAATCGTCACACCAATATCTGAATCACTGCGCCGGCCTACGGTGCTCCAGAACTTCGACAACGTCAGAGGAATGCGCTATGTGCTGCCCACATGCGCGTTATTCCTTGAGCATCGGGCAGGAGTGAGCAAGAGTTTGGCACCCTGGCTGCTTCCGATGAGCATGTCTGGATCCTCGGCCCGCTTTACGCACGAGCAACGTCGCGACGCGCCAGGAGTCTCGCTGTGGAAAGTGGCACAGCTTTTGCCAACGTTGGATCACAAGTAGTGATGGCTGTGAGTTGCTCGGCGGCTCGTGAAGTTCTGCAAAGACTCGTTCCAGCCATGTGGGCCGTGGTAGGAGCTGAGCTTTTCCATGACGCGGGCCGCTTCGTACACCTAGGCCAAGAGAACAGTCCTGTTTGCTGCTGCATTCGTGCTGCCTTCCTCATTACACGGTCTTTCATAGATTGCCCCTGTACATGGAGGCAAAGGCACGAGATGACACGAGTATCACTCCGCAGCAGACAGCATCAGACTTTTGTACTACATATGTGAAGCAGCGGCTCGGGGTCTTTCTCGGGCGGGCAATTACACCTACACCGACTGTCGCCTTCTTCCCGCTGCTTCCTAAACTCTTCGCATGGAAAGCGCACTCGGTGCCAATGCCGACTTGGCCGCGTACTGCATGCAAAGCCCTGATGTTGGCCTGTTCTGCTGTTGCACCGCAATATTCTTTCTTTCTCCAGTGTTGACCCCGTCCACCGCAATTGCTCTCCCTCTCTCGCTTTACGTTCGCCAGGGCTGGGGTGGGGAGTTGCCTCTCGCTCTGCCTCACTCTGCGACGAATGCCTCCCTAAAGCTGTCACTAGGCTGATTCTCTCTCCATCGTGCTGTCTGTTTTGCAAGGCTGAGCTCCGGGCCCCTTTCCAGTCTCGCACATCAGCGGTAACACCTCGAAGCATGGCAAATGGCGGGTTCCGCGGCTTGTCACAAACCAAAGTGGCGAAGATATCGGTTGAGACGCTTCTTTCAGGCGCTTCGTCGGACAGCAACTTGGTACGATTTCCGCCAGCATGCCGCTTTGCTGCGAATGCATTCAGCACATTGATTCGCAGACCAACGAGGCAGGCTGTGACGTCACCTGCTTAGGATATTGGAGCTGGCTCACTCGTGCTCGACCGTTAAGTCCCGGGACATTCCCTCGGTAAGGCAAACGAGACCGCGTCAAATGATTTGCGCGTCTTTGGCGCTGTCCTTTCGAGTTTCTCCTCGCTCCGAGCCAAGGTGCCAAGGTACCCTCGCTCGCTTAGGACAGCATTTTGTAGGCATCGTTCTTCCCATCCGTCACATACTCCTGTTCAAGACACGTCACTTCCGGCCCTCAGCTTCCAAGGCTTCTAAGCCCCCTATGCAGCCTATGCATGCTTCTTCGGCCTGCCTGGTAAGTGCTGTGTGGGGTCGTAGTCATCTGGTTATGTGGCCCGTGGGCTGCCTCTTTACTGGCATGTGCGAGTCATATAAACACAACAGAAGCAGGGCACAGCAGGGCTCGAGAGCCTTGCAATTGAACGTGGATGTGAAGCACTTCTGCTCCTCGAAAACGCTGCACGGTTACCCTCTCAGATGCTGTTCCGCCACGGTGGGTGGGGACCCTTGCCACTAAGGCTCCCGATCTTTCCACCCACAGAGCGTCCCCTTTTCATTGGTCCGCTGTGCGCAGGATTGGAACCCCTGCATCAATGAATCAAACAGGCCAGAGACATGCTTAAAAAAACATGTCGGCGTCAATGACGTGCAACATGCTTTGAATCGCCCAGCCTCATTTCGAGAGGTGCACTCAGAATAGCCATCCAAGACCTCAAAGCAAAGCGTCTCACCTTGGACGAGGCGGAGGCATGTGCAGGAGTACCTATTTTTTGACTTTTGTTTGTGTGGCCATTATTCTTGTTTGCCGCGTCTTTGTTTAGTAGCTATCAGGAGGAGGAGGAGGAGGAGGAGGAGTAGTAGTAGCGGTAGTAGTAGGAGTAGTAGTAGGAGTAGTAGTAGGAGTAGTAGTAGGAGTAGTAGTAGGAGTAGTAGGAGTAGTAGGAGTAGGTAGGAGTAGGTAGGAGTAGGAGGAGTAGGATTAGGAGTAGGAGTAGGAGGGAGTGGGAGCAGGAAGTGGGAGCGGGAGTGGGGGTGGGGGTGGGAGTGGGAGCAGTAGGAGCAGGAGCAGTAGGAGTAGCAGCAGCAGCAGCAGTAGTGGTAGTCGTGGCAGTATTGGCAGTAGCAGTTAGTAGCAGTTAGTAGCAGTAGTAGCGGTGGTGGTGGTACCAGTAGTAGTAGCAGTAGCAGTAGCAGTAGCAGTAGCAGTAGCAGTAGCAGTAGTAGTAGTAGTAGTAGTAGCAGAAGTAGTGGTAGTGGTGGTAGTGGTAGTGGCAATGGTAGTGGGAGTAGTAGTAGTAGTCGTAGTCGTAGTAGTAGTAGTAGTAGTAGTAGTAGTAGTAATAGTAGTAGTAGTAGTAGTAGTAGCAGTAGTAGTAGTAGTAGTAGTAGTAGTAGTAGTGGAGTAGCAGTGGAGGAGTGGAGTAGTGGAGTAGTGGAGTAGTGGTAGTGGTAGTTGTAGGACAGCAGCAGCAGCAGGAGCAGTAGTAGTCGAAGTTGCTTGCAGTAGTTGGATTTTGTGATTTTCTTTCAGTACTGCAGTATTCCCAGTAGCCGTGGCAGCAGAAGACCAAGCATAGTGGCCATAACGGCCTGAAGCACGAACGGCTAAGCTCCAAGAAGAAGCGCACCTGGGAACGTGATGCCATTGCCCCTCTGCATGCCACCGCATTGCGCTTCTTCGTGCCACATCCCTGCATCAATGTTGAACCTAGACTCTAGACCTAGGCTCCTAAATACTCCGAGGCCGTGCCTCAACTTTCAAGTTTGGGCCCATAGCAGTGAACCTCTGACTGTAACCCGAATCCCAAACGCCAGCAATCCCGAACCCTTCGAATCCTACGAAGTCGCAAGAGAAGTCCAACACCGCAAAATAGAGTCTTCAGTCGTACTCATAGTGTTATCAGCTGTTTTTGTTGGTTTTGAGAAATCATATCCATTCGTTTTTTGCTCATGTTGCCTTGCTAGACCGGTTGAGCGGAGGTTGGGTTCAGTCTGGTCACAGGAAACGGCGGACGCACGTTCTTGTTGCTTGATTGTGGTTATGATCATGGACGTTGCGTCTCATTTGGTTTGTCGTTGAGGGTAAACTCTAAAACTTTATCCCTAAACCCTAGACATCTTGCGAGCATTCGAGGGGTCTGATAATGCGAAACAACCTGCTGACGGCTGTGTGCAGGGACCTGCTGGTGAGTTACCAGAGGAGCATTGCATATTATGCCAAATTCGTAACCTGTATGGTCAGGATTTTTGGGTAAATCGCCCGAAACCCCGTAGACTTCAAGTCCGAATTCGTTGGGGCTTGGTGTTCTTGGTACAGGCTCTCAAGGTATTCAGTGTAATTCCAGAAGCCCTGCACGCGGCACAGTCCAGCAGAAGTTGGCTTTCCAGCGGCGTGCTGAAAGCATGTGGCTCTTGGCAGAGCTGCGTTTGTTGCATTGGTCTCCGCGAGGTATCTGTGCACCCTTGGCCTCTGCGTCGCAGAAGTGAAACACTGCCTTCATCGCATCATCTCGCAATTACACAGCAAGAGAAGTGTGACTCCTCGACCACTCTTGTCATGACGTCCAAAGTGATCCGGGCAGTCAGGAACACCAGAAATACAGTAATCATCATAGCCATCAACGCCGGGTCGTGGTCATCGTACAACCACCACATTGTCATCGTACTTGCACTCTGAATGTAATAGTGGTGAGTCTCACCACAATCTCACCACACGCAATGCAATCGACATTGTCCTTCCGATCACATAGCAAGCATAGCAGTCGCTGTGATCGTGCATGACAATTAGAGAAGAGGGACCAGGCGGACCCGGGTGTAGGGTCCTCAGAACCGATGAACCCAAAAGCTTCAGCTGTCTGCCTTCGACCTTAGCTTGAACTGCAAACCCAAGCGGGTGATCTCTGCGATCGAACACAGCGGCCAAGCAAGTCTGCACATCACTGCGCCCGGTTCAGGGCTTTAGGATGGGGTTCGAAGAAGTCGAATTTCAGCCGTCGGGATGTACGGGCTTGCATGCTTAGGATTATAGTCTTTAGTAGGTGTCAGGGTCTAGACATTCAGGGTTTATGATGCTGATGTTTGAGAACTTTGTAGACTCCCAAGTAACGGGTTTCTCGTTGTTGCATAATTCTCATCACTTCAGCGACAAGCGGACGTGCATCGGCCGAAAAAATCGCATCGTCTTTGTCGCCTTGTCCGTTGAAGCTGACAGCCCAGGGCAGTCAGCGTCCGAAGCCGAAATCCCAAACCGGATGAATAAACGAGCCTCAACAAGCGCAAGAGCAGCAGTCCTGAGTCCTGTGCAACTATGGGTTAGCTTTCTTGTGAAGATAGTGCAGGCTCGTCTTCTGCTTCATCTTGT